CCAAACAGCAGCGTTGATGGACTCAAGTGTGGCAACAGTGGTGAGGTTGGCCCAGGATCATGCAGTGTTTCGTTCTGCTGTGCATAGGGTCGCTATGAGTCGGTACTGAGTTGATGGCACCTAACAACAACAACAACAACTGTGCTAAAATCTCTTGAGTCCATAAAGTGATGAGGCTATATGGTCCCAACCCCAAAAGATTATTAATAGAAACACAACCATTTTAAAGTAACCCTCACTCGGACCACTGAGTGCCCTGTGCCACACTCTGCTGATTCCATCCTCTTGTTTGTTTCTGTTCTTTTCCATGATAGACAAATGGAGGCATCCCTGGAGAGAAAAGGCCTAGTAGTGTGGTTGTGGCAAACATTCTCTCCCTCAGTGGTTGTGCGGTGATGCCAGGAGAACTAGGAAGCTGTTAGATCATCTGTGTCTCAGAAGCCCAAGCTCAGCTCCTTCCTGAAGAGCTACTTGGTTGGTTTACATTGTGGGCTCAATTTGGCACACATGATGGGACATGTTCTTCTCTCATTTTTTAGGACAGGCAATGGGGCAGTCTCATTCTGTGAATCACCAGGATCATAAAACAGCACCTTACCAGCTGTGTGTTATCCTGGTGTGGAAATACATGATCTAAAATTTGGTCGGAGTGGTACAAACAGGGTGTGCTTGACTACCAAATGAAAGGTTGATGATTCGAATCCACCCTGTGGTGCTGTGGGAAGGCTGGATGAGCTACTGCTGTGACTATTACAACCAAGAAAACCCGAGAGAGAAGTTTTACACTGGGATACATCGGGTCGTCATGAATTAGAATTTACTTGATAGCAATGGATTTGGGTTTTTAAATTTTGTTCTTTGGTTTGTTTGAATTTATGAACAGCCCAGAAAAGACGGTAAAATTTCTCCTGAGATTTGAAATAAAAATGTCCACACTGAGGAGTTTATCGCCAATTATTACAGAACCTGTGCTGAGTTGCTTTGAGCGCTTGGGTGAAGCTTTGCGCATACGGAGTTCATAGTGAGCCCCAATATGTTTGGTTGTTTTCTTATGAAATAAGAACTAACATGAAAGTGGGTGACAGTCTTTTGGTTGTTTCTTTCCTAGGATTACGTCGTGCTGCTACCCAGGGACTACTATGAAGCATCAGCTTTGCAGCTGCCAGTCACAGAACCATGTGCCTCTTCAGGACCCACCCAGGAGAAGTGAGCATCACTGTAACACAGTGCTCTGGATAATTATTTAATGGACATTTTTCTCTGTGGCAGTAGACTCTTTTAAGTAAGAAAGACAAAGCATTTTGGACATTGTAGCTAGCTTAAGAGCGATGTTACCCTAGAGCATGTGCAAGGTTGATTCTTGGCCAATTGTTATGCATCTAGTTGTGTATCTATTGGAGCGAAGGCCTTGAAATAGAATCCAGGCCTGTGCACCTTTGCTTCTTCTATTCCCTCATGTAGATAAACAGTGACTGCCCATTCTTAAATGAGGTACTTCATAAGAATTTGATGAAGGAGTGAATGAACTGAATGAAGAAAAGCCCTTGAGATGCACTTTGACACTGTTTTATATTCTGAGTTGTAATTATTGTTTTGTTTTGATTTTTATTGTTGTATTGAAGCTGCCTGCTTTACCGGAATTTGCCGCTCACCAGATTCCCTTGTGCTCTGGCTTGTGAAGCCAGACAGTTCCTGCTGGATGGGGAGCTGAGACCCTTAGCCATGAGGCAGCCCACCCCGGCACACCCCATCCTAGTGGACCTCAGCGGGAGAGAGGTGGGGCCAACTTCCCCTTGCTGTAAAGCTATTGCAACCTTCTTGTCTATGTCTGCTGAAAACACTTGGGCCACATTGCTTCTCAGATTTAGGGGAGCTAATTCCTCTGAGTCTTAATCAGGGGTTGGTTGAGTTTTCTGATTCTGTGTAGGCACCACTCTGTGAAGCTGAGACTGTTCTTGGAGAGCATTGTGTGAACATGCAGGGGAACGGGACTTACAAGCAGCATCCACTGTGTCCACCTTGGAGCAAAATCTACCTTTAAAAAGACAGATGAGACTGAGCTGTTTCTAAAAAGCTTCTAGAAAAGACACAGCTTACCCTAAAAGGATACAACACTTGCTGACTATCCCACCCCTTAGGATATGGGATTTGTAACCACTGAATTCCTCGAGTTCAGACTCTGGAACTGCTAAGCCCCAAGGCACTTACCTCATGGCTTGGATGGCAGGTTACTACATGTTTTGGTAATGCCATCTGTCCAGGAGTTCGTTGAGCCTCCTGTACTGATTTAGGAGTCCTGGTGTGGCACTGCGCGTTAATGCGCTGGACTGCAAGGTCAGAATGAATAGAAAAGTTGGTGATTCAACCTCACCAGCCACTCCTTGGAAAGCCTATACAGGGTTGATATGAGTCAGAACTGACTCTATGGCACTTAACAATAGCGTACTGATTTAAGCTCTGCGTTGGAAATGCAGTATACCAATAAAAACAACACACAATGCTACACCTCAAAATAAAGAATGAAAAAAATCTTCCTCTACTCTATTTTCATTTCTTATTTTCTATAGCATTCTTTGTTTTATATCTTTGAGGAATATGTTACTTTAAGGGATTTAATTTGTGGAATGAACATATATGTGGAATCAATTATCATTGATCCATATATTTTAAATCAATTAACATTTAAAAGAGCACATTTTTATTAACTACATTCCTGACATTTTGAGAGCAGCAGCAGCTACAGGAGGTTTAGTGTATTTCTTAAATGCAGACTTCATTTAATTTTATTACTTTTTTTTTTTATCAAAATAATATATGCTTGTAAGTAATACATGGTGGTGGTGGTGGTGGTGGTGGTGTGCCTTGCAGTTGGCTCCAACTCATACCGACCCAGTGTAGGGTTTCCAAGATTGTAAATCTTTATGGGAGCATAAAGCCTCGTTTTTCTCCCACGGAACCGCCGGTAGTTTCTAACTTCTGACCTTAAGGTTAGCAGCCCGATTTGTAATCACTATGCTACCAATGAAATAATCTTCTCTCCCATTCATTCTAATACTAATACTAATTCTACTCCTCTTTATCCATGCTGTGCACACACATACCTATATAGGTGTTGTTGTTAAGTGCCTTCATAATAACAGAAGTATATACACAAATATATGGACTCCTGGTGTGGTACTGTAGGATCAGCACAGGACTTCGAACCACAAGTTGGCGATTCAGACCCACCAGCTGCTCCTGGAAAACCCCGTATGGGGTCACTGTGAGTTAGGATCAACTGGACAGAACTTAGCAACAACAACATACATGTATATGAGCATACACATGTTATTGTTGTCTTGTACTATTGAATAGATTCAGATCCAATGTGCTGTAGAGTAGGATTTTATCTTTTCTTTTTAAATGACTTTTTATTGTGAATTGGGTGCAAGTTTACAGAGCAGATCAGTTTCCCAGTCAACAATTCACACACATTTTGTTTCATGTCATTGATTGTATTCCCCACAGTGTAGCACCACTCTGCCCACTGCCTCCCTGTGTTTCCTGTTTCCATTCCTCCTTCTTTCCTAACCCTTCTGAACTTTGTCCTGGGATAAATGCTGCTCTTCTGATCTCAAATGGTTGATGATTATAAGGTGTGCATACCTCCCTAGTATTATTGCTCCCCTTATAGTCTATTGCTCTGGTAGCGTAGTGGTTAAGAATCAGGCTGCGAACCGCAAGGTCAGCAGTTCAAAACTACCAGCAGTTCCGCGGGAGAAAGATGAGGTGTTCTGCTCCCATAAAGATTTACAGCCTCGGACACCCTGTACAGAGTCACTATGAGTCGGAACCGACTCCACGGCACATAACAACAACAACATAGTCTATTGCTTAGATGAAAATTGAATCCACAGGGATGAGTTCACTTCCAGACCTTAAGGGCCACCAGTTTCAATCCATTCAGTAAGATTTGTCTTTTTTTAAATGAATTTGAGTTTTATTCCACATATTTCTCTACTCTAGGACATTCTAATGTGATTCCTTCAGAGCAGTTGAACTAGATTGTAGTAGCCAGGCTGTGGAGACTGATACTCACACGGTCCGTGAGACCATCTTCAATCTTCATCACTCTTCGTTTCTCTGGACAGGGAGAGACCAGTAGTTGCATCTTAGATGCTCGCTAATCGTTACAGAAGCAGATTGCTAAATCTTTTCTTCCGTGAGCCTGCTGAGTGAGCTTTAACTACCAACCTTTCAGTTAGTAGCTGAGCACAAACCATTTATGACACGCATAGGCCTCTGTACATACCATATACATGTGTGTGTGTGTTTATGTCCCCCAGACAACAGGGAGGAACAGTCAAGAAGGGCCAGCCTCAGGAAATGATGTTGATGATTCATCAGGAAGTTTCTAATCCCTGATTCATTTCAGAGCCACAGGGATCAGCTATTGGGAAGGGCCCACTGTTAGATAACTTACAAAATTAAGGTCTGGGCTGTCCAGTGTTATTTAACAGTCCTTTTTACTGCTTTATCTGAATGTTTATAGACCTATGCTGCTCAGTACTGTAGCCCATAACTCCAGGTGGCTGTTTAAATTTAAATTAATAAAATATAAATAAAGTTAAAAATTCAGTTCCTCAGGGAACCTAGATCCAGAGGGCGTGGAAGAAGATAGAATTTCCACTGAGTAGTATCCAATCTGTCTAGGTGGGGCTGATGAAAGGAAATGTGGATAGGTCTCTTGTGATACAATAGTGAATAATTGTTATCAGGACTGCTTGTGAGGGTTGGAATTGTAAAGGCAGACTTTTGTAGCAAGGAGGGGAGTGATTAACCTTTCAGTCTAGGAGCGGAGGTCCCTAGGACCATCAAGGGAGAAGAGCAGAGAGCGGGACCCTACCCAGAGAAGCAGTGATGCCTGAGATGGAGGCAGAGACGATGACGTGGAGAGATGGAGCAGCTGGGAACTTTAGACCCAGAGAGGGAGAGGGGCTGTGTGCTGATGACTGGGGGGCAGGCTTGTAGGGTATACCCTTTGGTTGGGTGATGATGCATGGAGGGGATAGTAACCATGGCAATGATAGGATGAATGTAAAACTAATGTTCTCCCATGTAAACTATCACATAATTCACAATAAAACATTAAAAAAAAATTCAGTTCCACTATCCATATTTCAAGTGCTCCTATTTCAGTCACTTATGTCTAGTGGCCACCTTATGGGATGCTAGGTGTAGATCATATTTTCATCATCACAGAAAGTTTTATCAGACAGTATCATTGTAGAACATTGTGCTAAGATTCAGGGACTATTCCACTGGAATTGGCAGAGACCTTAGAAATAATCTTATTTTCCTTATTATGCACAAATCCTTTCTATACTCTCCTTGTTAGATATTATTTTGTTGTTATTAAGTGCTGCTGAGTCAGTTCCAACTCACAGCGACCTTGTATAGGGTTTCCAAGGATCAGCTTGTAAGCTTCAACCTTTAGCTTTGTGGTTCAAACTGACCTTGCAATCCAACGCATTAACCCACAGTGCCACACCAAGACTCCAGATACTATTTTAGCCTCTGTTAAATACTTAAATTGGAGTCCTGGTGTGGTGCTGTGGGTTAATGCACTGGACTGCAAAGTCGTTGAACCTCAAGGTCAGCGGTTCAAGCTCACCAGCTGCTCCTCAGAAACACTATACAGGGTCCCTATGGGCCAGAATTGACTTGACGGCACTTAACAACAACAACAACAAATATTTAAATTAATAAGGGGCTTACTTTTTTGCAAAAGTAGCCTGTTCCATTTTTAAAATAAATTGTAATTGCTAGAAAGCCTTTTTTTTTTTATATATATATCAAACCAAAATATGGTTCATTATAGTTTCTGACTTTTTGATATGAACAGTTCATCTGGAGCAGTGAAAAGTAATCCTTCCTCCATTTTGAAAATTAAGTAGTTAAGAAAAGTCCTCATGTGGCACTGTGGGTTAGTGCCCTGGATTGCAAAGTTGGTTTGAACCACAAGGTTGGTGGTTCAAGCTCACCTGCTCCTTGGAAATCCTATACGGGATTGCTATGGGCTGGAACCGACTCAGCGGCACTTAACAACAACAGCAAGTAGTTAAGAGGATGACGATGGAACAAGTCTGCCTTGTGTCTCTACTAATTTACTAGCTAGTTAGTGAGTCACCATTAACTAGCTATGAAATCTATCTGGGCCTCATTTTACAAATATGCAAAGTGGGCACAATAATAGTAGCTACTTCATGTTATTGCTAAGTGCCATTGAGTGAATTTTGACTAATAGTAACCCTATATAGGGTTTCCCAGAAACAGCTGATGGATTTGAACCACCAACCTTGTGGTTTGCAGTTCAGTGTTTATCTTATAGAACCACCAGTGCTGTTAAATACGATAATCCTTGCGGGCCTCTTGTTGTCTTGTGTGGCATATAGTGATCACTGAGTAACTGTTACTATGTTACTATTATATGTACTAGTCAGGTCTCTAGGTTGAAAGGAAGTGTGGCCCACCAAATCTAGCTCATGTGAAAGGGTTTTGTTCTGTTTTTTAGGATGTAGAGAGGTCGATAGGATTCCAAGGGCAAGAACCAAATGCATTAAGATCTGGCAGGAATCTGTAAGGAGCAGAAGTAGCTTTGTGTCCAGTCTTTCTCAGAGGCCACCCTGCTGTTTACATTTACCTGTCTCCCTCTCTTTCTTCACTGTTGGGGTTTACCTGTTCTTATCTCTTTCCAAGTTGCTTCTACTTTCTGCTTATAGTTCTTAGAAACTTTG